CCTGTAAATAAGATAGGAATAGGGACTGGGGATGTGGATCAGTGGTTGAGAGCTTGCCTAGCAGGCACAAGGCCCTGGGTTCAATCTCCAGCACTGAAAATAAAAAAAAAATATGTGTATCACTTATGGGATAATTGAAATAGCAATGTTTTCCAAAAGTTAGAAGTACTACCATAATTATGCCAAATGTGAAACCTTTTGGAGCAAACTAAGTAATAGGTGACATTATTTTATATGCCAAACTGCCTCATTGACTTTAGTTGTTTAAGAGATTTTAAAAAATGTACCACATGCCTTTTAATTGTTCTTAAAAATTTACTTTCCATCCCATAATCATTTAAACACTTTTCAAGTTTTACATCTTCATATGGAAGAAAAACAAGTGATCAATACTTTGGATACTATTTTTTCCTGCAAAATCTGTATACCTGATGGTTCCTTTAAAAATTAAAACACTGATAATTCTGTTTTAAAACTCTTATCTCCTCTATTCTTTTCTACTTTCTGGTTTAGTTGTTCTGCCTTGACTCTTAAATATTTAACAACAAAGGTGTATTCATGAGGATGAATCTTTTTTTCAACGTTTAAATTGCATCCTTACCAGAGATTTCTCGTTTCATTCTAGGTTCTTCCCCCAGCCCATTTAAATTTTGTGTATAGTTTGGAAAAGATTTAAGGACTGAAGCAGAATATCCTTGATGATAAAAGGGCATTCACATGGAAAACAAAACAAAACAAAAACAAACTCCATTTACTTCTCTCTCTTCTCATTTATCCCAATGTCCAAAATCCTACATTCAGGAGTAAAATTAGGACAGGCATCTGTTTTCCCATATAGCAAAAATAATCATATTTATGTAAATGAACACATACATGTATATATTTATTTACATGAATTTAAAAAACATGATTAGGCGGCACATGCATATGATCCCAGTGGCTTGGGAGGCTGAGATAAGAGAATTGAGAGTTCGAAGCCAGCCTCAGCAACTGTGAGGCACTAAGCAACTCAGTGAGATCCTGTCTCTAAATAAACTACAAAATAGGGCTGGGGATGTGGCTCAGTGGTCGAGTGCCCCTGAATTCAATCCCTGGTACCAAAAATATATCAATCAATCAATCAATTAATTAATAACATGTTTAACACTCAGATAATGTATAGCAAAGCAGTCTAGACACAGAAACCAATATGCTGACAATTTGATTACCATGTTTTCAAGGCCTGGAAAATGCAGCTCACCAAATAAATTTATTTTACCACAAGAAATCAATACCCTTCAAAGCTGGTAAATTTCAATATCAATTGTACTTTTTTTCCTTAAAAATGATTACAGGTAGGTTGATATGGTAGAGAAATACTTAAATACCAATTGGACTGCTAGTAAGCTTACCTTACAGCTTTGAAAAACTCTGATTTCTTGTGTTTCAGTGGTGAGCTGCATTTCCTGAGTCTCAGCCAATTTCCCAGCAGGAATTCCCGTCTGATGAAGAATCAGCAAAAGGAAGCCCTCACTGAGACATACTGGTATCATTCACTGAGTGGAGACAGTGAAAGAATAACATGTTTCTAAAGGCAACTTATTTTATTAACATATACGCTTACATAGTAAATACAGCTTTAATTAACTCCTCAAGGTGGGAGAAACTTTTCTTGAAAAACTGACAAATGCTTTTTCTACAAAGCATTTGATGTTACTCTCCTGGGTTTTAAAATGCCTACCTCTTTGTTTCATATTCATTCATCATAGCTGATCCCTTAAATGCTTTTTTAGAAAACAAAAAACATCTTTAGTTTTGAACACTCATTGATGCACCTTCTAGCAGCAATACTGGGATCTCATAGCAGAAAAACAATTAATGAAATAATTTATCAATTTTTTGCATCATCTTTATCAATTGAAATTGACTGCCTCTTCAAGTGATGACAAACAAATATGGAAATCTTTTTCACATATATAAAAATATTTGAAATGAACTTTAACACTTTTGAGAAAGATGTTTTTTAAAATGTCTCTTTGGGTATGTTTGGTTCTGGGGATTGAACCTAAGGCCTCATACATGCTAAACAAACATTTTACCACTAAGCTTAGTCCCAGCTCTTTAAAATATCTTTAAACACAGTAGTTTACAAATAATCAATAGTCAGACAGAGTTATAAAAACTTTGACTTAGGAGGCTGGGGTAGGAGGATTCAAAGTTCAAGGTCAGTCTTGGCAACTTAGTGAAACCCTGTGTCAAAACAAAAAATAAAAAGGGTGGGAATGTAGCTCAATGGTGAAGTGTCCCGGTTGTTCCCTAGGACTAACAATATGAAAATAAAAACATCATGAAATAATATTTTTCACTAGTTGTTTTGAATTATGAAGTTTACTGTGTTTATTGTTATGGAGTGACTGTTAATACAGTATCAGTAATTGCATGTAGCTATTTAAGTTTAAATTAGTTAAAAATAAAATAAAAACTAGTTTCTCAGTCATCCTAGCAATATTACCAATGTATATTTGCCTACCAGATATTTCACAGAACAGCACAGATCTAGAATACTTGTATCACTGCAAAAAATCTTAATATTCTAGAGAAAGCACCTAAATGAAGAGACAGCTTGTTATGGTTAAAAGGCCTTACCTGGTCGGAGGAGGTGTGGATGTGTGAAGGGGCTAGGCTGGCCTAAATATCGATTTGGAATTCTCCTCTCTGGCACAGGCTGGAGAGAGTATCTTCGCTGTAAACATGATATGCATCCTGAAGGAAGAATAGAGAGGATGAAGTAGAACACCAGATCTATACATCCTTTATGGTACTCATGCATTTATTTCCAACACTTTGGATGATTCTCCCAATATTTAAATGGTTCTTCCCCATTGTGAGAGCCTGTGATGGGCTCTAGGAAAACAGAAATGAGGTCATCTCTACTCTCATCATATTGTCTGCTACAGTATAATGGAGACAGATATACACAGACACACATACATGTATGTAACACAAAGGTAGGAACAAGGTGAAGGAAGGGAACAAACAAAAAACAAGAAAGGGGTTAGGAAGGAATTCACATAGATAGCTTGAGGCTGTGTCCTAAAATTTAGGAGAAGATAATTAACTTTTTTTTTTTAAATGAGAATGTGTGAATGCTAAGTATGAGTGATATCATATTTAATCTTGGAATATTACAGCCAGATAACATATGAAAATGCTTAATCATAGGATATAATAAATGTCAACATTATTATCACTAACTGAACAAAAGTTTATTGAGCACATGATTGGAACATATGCTGGAGAAGACACAAGAATGACAAGGGTTCAACCCCCAGCACTACAAAAAAAAAAAAAAAAAAAAAAAAAAATCAAGATTATTTACCTGGGTCTTCAAACAATCTAAGAATATTCAGCTAGAAGTAGACGTGAGACAAGGTGAGAAGAAACAGCACTATAATACTGCATGGTAAATGTAGAAGTAGATTCAAATGCAAGTTTTTTTCCCCCCTTGGGTGGGTTCTGGAGACTGAACCCAGAGGCACTTAACCACTGAGCCACATCCCCAGCCCATTTTTTGATTTTTTTGAGACAGGGTTTCACTAAATCATGTAGGCTAATCTAGAACTTGCAATCCTGCCTCAGGCCCCTCAGTTGCTGGGATTACAGGTGTGTACTACCCCACATGGCCATATGTTAGGTTTTTGAGAACACAAAGCTATCATAATGCCTAGAGTTGGGTACAATGACAAAAGGCATGTGGTACTCTGAGGAACACAGGAAAACATACAAAAGGTATTTCTGCAGATATATTCCTGTGCACATGTGCTTGAATGTGAAAGGGCAGGAGGAGGGAAAGAGACATGTAAGAATGCACCAGGGCAACAGCACCCTACTCTACCAGAAGGTGAGAGCTGCTGGAGGGAGATGAAAAGATTAGGAAGTTAGGCCCAGGCCTTTAAAGGTATTGTATGGTAAATTAAGGAATTAGATTTTTAAGTTCCACATGAAGTAGACATTATCATCATTATTTTATAAAAGAGGAATCTGATACAGAAGTAACTTGAACAAGGTCACACAGTACTGGAGAGCTAACATTCAAACCCAGGTTTACATAGTTCATAATCTTTGCACTCTTCCCTCTGTGCAACAGTTCAGGAGATCTTCTCTTTTAATCTCAACAAGGCAATCAGTACTGAACAATATCCTTGGAGCATAAAATCAGTACATAGGCAGAACATGATTAAGTATGGATCAAGTGAAAGATTTCTGTAGGAGTTATGAAGTATGAATGATGTTATATGTATTTGAGAGAGAGTTAGAAGTCTTAAATGTTCACCCAGATTAAATTTATTGAAGATTGTTGAGAAAAATAATAACTTGTTGGATGATAAAAGAAAATGGTGCCTGGATCGAAGAAACAGTCTCCTCACTGATTTGCCTGTCTTGGTCTTGCCTCTTCAATTCATCCTCTATAGGTCATGCTATTTCCAAAATGATCTTTCCAGTCCTTTGCTTCAGGCTGGGGTTATAGCTTAGCAGTAGAGCACTTGTCTGTAGTTCTTTGCAAGTCTTGGCCAGGCAAGTCATATGTAAATTCTAGGAGCTGTCTTTAAACTCTATAACAGAGTAAGCTTTCTAACAGTATAGCCTCTACTAACTGTATAAGCTTAAAATTTTCTACCTTTCAGAAAAAGCTTCAAAATCCTTAACTTAGCATCTTTCACAGTCTAGATACTAGACCAGACTAATTCTCAAAAACATTACTGAAGTCACACTAGGCTACATGAAGATGCCCAGCAAATCATTTTGTATCATAACAGCATTTGCCTTCAAAAATATAGTTGTCTTGGTCTAAAATGAATTTTGCCTCCTTTTTTTGACTATACAACTTCTAAAAATTCAGATCAAACATCATTTAGGTAGGAAGCCTTCTCTTACATTCCCAATCCTACTGCTACAGATGCAGATGTTGTCCTGTGATGCTTATATATGCTTATTTCAACTGTAATGCCTGCCACTTAGCACATAATTCCTAGTTTGCTAGTCTACTCTAAATTTTTGAAAGGCACTTATTATTCGACTTTGTTTTTCCATGACTGGATTTGCAATAGATATATTTTGAAGGTTAAAAAGCCTATCAGGGGAGCTGGGGTTGTGGCTCAGTGGTAGAGTGCTCACCTAGCACATGCGAGGCCCTGGGTTCGATCCTCAGCACCACATAAAAACAAACAAATAAAAATATAGGTATCGTGTCCAACTACAACTAAATAAATAAATACTAAAAAAAAAAAAAAAGCCTATCAGGGACTGGGAATATAGCTCAGTTGGTAGAGTGCTTGCCTCACATGCACCAAGGCCCTGGGTTCAATCCCCAGCACCCCCCTCCCCAAAACACACACACAAAAAGCCAATTAGTCTTCTGATTAGATGCAGAGAGTAAAGACAGAAGACGATGATTCCTAGATTGGTGGCCTGAACAGTGGGTGAATAGTGCACCATTAAATGAAACAGGAAAGACTTTAGGTACTTATCATTGGATATCACAATAGAAAAGTCAAATAGAAAGTCTTTATTTCAGAAGGAAGAGTGACAGGCTAGATAATAATTAAATGAAGGTATTAGAAGCACATAGGTGATATCTAAGCCCTAGGACTAGATACCACTTAGGGAGACTGAGTAAAGGCTAGATCTATAAAATTTTAAGTGTGAAAAGCACAGAAGAAAATAAGAAAATAGAAGACTATGGTATTTAGGAAGCTAAAGAAACAAAGGTATTTTAAAAAAGGAGGAAGGAATCAACTGTGGCAAGTGCTTCAGAATATGAGAAAGCCAAAAGGACAACCACTGGACTCTGTAACATGAAATTCCCTCGAGAAACTGACAAGCACATTTTTAGCAGAGTATAGATGGAAACCAGACTGGAGTGTGCCAAGAATGTAAGAAAGCACAGATTCCAAGAAAACAATTTTGAGAAGATTTCTGGGACCGAATCAGAGAAAATAGCACAACAGCTGGGAGTGGAGAGGGCCCCAGCCAAGGGGGATGACTAAAGCAGCAAGTCCTGTTTCAATTGTTCAATTTCCTAACTTTTCTCCTTATATTTTTACACTCTACTAAAACTAGTTTTCTCAAAGTATGAGTTTTTGGGTATCGGGCATTGAGACATATTCCCAGCCCTATTTTTGTATTTTATTTACAGTCAAGGTTTCACCAAGTTGCTTAGCATCTCATTTTTGCTGAGGCTAGCTTTTAACTCCTAATTCTCCTGCCTCAGCCTCCCAAACTGCTGGGATTATAGGTGTATACCACTGCGCTCAGGTAAGTATTCATAAGAGCAGAATTTTCCATTTTCTTTCTATTTAGGATGGGGAGGGTTACTGTAGATTGAATCCAGGGGTACTTGTATGTTTTAAAAATCTCAAACTTTTGGGGCTGGGATTGTGGCTCAGCAGTAGAGTGCTCACCTAGCACATGTGAGGCCCTGGGTTCGATCCTCAGCACCACATAAAAATAAATTAAAGGTATTGTGTCCAACTACAACTAACAAAAAATATTAAAAATAAAATAAAGGTTCAATCCCCAGCACCAATAAATTTAAAAAAAAAATAAATAAAGGTCATTGTGTCCATCTACAACCAAAATAAGCAAACACACACCTCAAACTTTTGATCCTCCTATCTCAGCCTTTCAAGATGCTGGTATTATAGGTATCTGTCACTACATCAGGTAGAATTTTCAATTTCCTAACTTTTCTCCTTACCAATGGTTCTCAATTTATGTTTGTGGATGTCTAAAACCTAAACTCTTAAGTCTTGGTCCAAGAAATGTAGTAGAAGCTGGGTGTGGTGGTACATGCCAGCAATCTGGTAGGCTGAGGCAAGAGGATTGCAAGTTCAAAGCCAGCCTCAGCAATTTAGTGAGGCCCTCAGCAACTTAGGGAGAACCTGTCTCAAAAAATAAAAAAAGAGCTGAGGATATGGCTCAGTAGTAGAGCACCCCTGTGTTCAACCCTTGATACCAAAAAAAAAGAAAAGCAGTAGAGTGGAAACATCAGCATTTGGAAATTATGTTCAGAAAGTTTAAACATTTTCATTAATCAATTATGTAGCTTTAGGCAAATTACTTTATCCCTCAGAATCTTGGCTTATGGGCACAAAAATGTTTATTTTGCTGAAATGCTATGTCAGTTAAATGAGAAACCACACGTAAATTATTTGGATCAGTATGATAAGAGGGTGCTCAAATGATGCTCAGTATTGTTATTGTTTTCAAAGGTAGGCAAATATAATCATGCATATGTTACACATAAATACATGTAAGCACATATACTGGAGAGAATTCCAATTACTTGGGTTTTAAACATTTCACAATGCCTCTTGACAACTAGCATGTAAAAACCAAAATAAATGTAAAGCAAAAAATACTCAGACCCGGCAAACAGCTTAGAAAGACTGTCTAGAAATATACTACATTTTTATATTTCATTAGAGAATTGTTTAACTGAACTGGTTTTAAGTGTAACGGAAATTAAAACAGACAAAAATAGAGAAGGAAAAACAGATTGCTATGGAGAATTTTCTAGGACAATAAAATGAGCAAGGAATAGAATTTTTTTTAAAAATTCATTTGTAGTTTGTTGATAATTTAAATTATCCCAAAAGAAAATCAACTTTGGTCTAAATAACTGGGCTTTCTAATTCAGTTTTCCCAATTGCCATTTATTCTCTACATAGCAGCCACTGATCCATTTAAAAATAAGTCAGGGC